TTCTTGTTTATGTAGCTTGGTAAAAACTGAGGGGTTTGAATTTTCAGAGGTAATACTTAGCACACTCTGTGACTGCCACAGGGAGAAGGTTTATTAAGAGGCTGTGGATTGAACTTGAAATGCTATCTCCCTATGGAAAAGGGGAGGTCATCCTGAGGATACTGGATTCTGTGTCTCTTGAGGATCACAGGACCAGGGTACTAAGGGCAAGAAGTTTTCCTCTTCTGCTTGTAGCACTTCTGGCTCTTGGCCACAATTGAAAGTGAAAACAAAAAGCATAGGAACTTTCACTGGGCTTATCTTCACCAAAGATAAACTTTCTCTAGCCTTCATAGACGGAGAAGCAATTCGGTAACAATCAAAAAGGATGATAAATAAGATTTCTCCAGCCCAGTCCAGCGCGGTGTTTCACGGCACCGTTGCAGTGCTGCTGGTAACTCCAAAGCTCAAATCCTACTTGGCTGAAGAGAACGACGCCTGCTGAACTGAACTCCTTGGAGGGGCTCCGGACCACGTGGATTGTTCCCTGACTCCAAAGCTCTCCCAGCGCAGACAGCAGACTGGAATACAGATGCCAAACTCGGTTCCAGGTTTTGCAACACTCCTTCATTTAAGATAGCAATTTCCTTTAATAGCTAGCAGAACCTAGTGGCTGGCTCCTTCTTTAATTTCTTTTTTTTTTTTTTTTGCTTTTAACCATATGATCATAATCTGTATCAACCAAAGATTCTATGCGTGGCAGGCAGAGAGTTTCATCCTGGGGCTACTGAAATGAATTGCAGAACCATGCAGTAACTGGCTACAAGCAGCAATCAATTGTACCAGTTACCAAATGACTTAGTTTAAATGTAAAATTATTTGTTCAGACAGCAAGAAACTATTTACATGTGCTACTTTTGAAATTTACCTCTAGCTATGACCATATGGTAATTTAACTTTTATATTGTATTTACCGCATTCTTATACTTTAATCAGTCAATGCAGAGCTAAACTCTTCAGAACTCCACATTTCAGTTTGCAACTCAAAACTTTTGCAGTCGAACCCAGTGGGTGGCTCCTTCTTTAATTTTTTTTTTTTTTTTTTTTTGCTTTTAACCATATGATCATAATCTGTATCAACCAAAGATTCTATGCGTGGCAGGCAGAGAGTTTCATCCTGGGGCTACTGAAATGAATTGCAGAACCATGCAGTAACTGGCTACAAGCAGCAATCAATTGTACCAGTTACCAAATGACTTAGTTTAAATGTAAAATTATTTGTTCAGACAGCAAGAAACTATTTACATGTGCTACTTTTGAAATTTACCTCTAGCTATGACCATATGGTAATTTAACTTTTATATTGTATTTACCGCATTCTTATACTTTAATCAGTCAATGCAGAGCTAAACTCTTCAGAACTCCACATTTCAGTTTGCAACTCAAAACTTTTGCAGTTTCTCTCTGCTTTTGAGCAGTTGCCATCTTCAGATAATAACAGATCAATCAGTGCTCAACCCTTTGAAGTGCAACAGTTCAAATATGCCTGCTGCCTCGTATACCCTGCTGTAGGTTTTACTCCGAACGGAGGCTAAACTTTCCTACTTCAAAAGTAATGAGCTCTGCTCAATTAGCAGAGCAAGGGTTTTTTTTTGAGCATCGCACGTAATTAGTTTCGAGGTCTCCAGTTTTGACAGCCCGTTTGTTAACAATCTTTTTATATAGCTGGCACGAAAGCTGTGGTTCAAATACAAGCAGGCAGTCAGATAACTGGAGTGCTTCAGCTACACACACGATTCCAGAACTCAGGTAGGCTTTTCTGAGAAGCAATTTGGCTTTACGTTTCAGAGGGGATGACATGGCTGCTTTAGGTAGAGAAAGAACCAAGGCTCGTAGGAGGGGGAAATACTTCTTCTTAGGCCAGATATTTTAGGAAGTGGCAAAGCAGCTTTGGAGCAAACCAGCCCATCACTGGATTTTCTTCTTTCTCTCTTTTTCCTCTCCCTCTGTGTATATGGCTGCATATGTGTCTACAGAACTTAAGACCCAATATACAGCAGTTGTTCAATGTGTCTTCTCCTGCTCTCCGAATTCTGACTTTTTGCTGTTATTTTCTTTATAGGTGGTCAAGACTTCCAGCAACAGACAGCATCTGGAATTCAGTCTGCAACAGTGGCTGCTGCATCACAAGGTAACGTTTCCCTTTGTGGATCGAAAGGAGAAAACTGTATTTCAGCAGGTCTTGGTGCGAAGAACAGGAGGTCTTCCTCTGTGGCAGACAGAGCATTGCTTTCTCTATTTCAGATGTTTGCTTGAGGGAAGAAAGGAAAGAGCTGGTCTGTCTTGGAGAAGTGAGAATAGATTTTCTTCTCGTAAAAGAAACTTGACAAATCGGTGTTAAGTACACTGTGTGCATAACATTTCACTGAGGAGAAAATGAACAGATGAGAAAATAGATAGGGTTTTTCTCCCTTGCAAAATCTAGGTTGCTGTGCCAGATGGAAGCCAATGGCTAATGTTGCTGCCCTCCTAAGGATCATGGGGGCAGAAGGAGTTCTGAATGGGTCAGGACTGCCATCTCTGTCCATGGTTTTTGGTGTTGTCAGGCATGGTGGGTTATGAAAGTGAACAGGAAATTATAGATCTGTATAGGAAGCAATGTTATTTATTCCGTAGAGTGCGTCTGTTGTACTATGCAATGTGATATGGCTGTGTATGTTACAGTCATAAGATATTGACAGTATGAGGAAACAATATTTTATCACCTCTTCATCAATTACCATTTTAGAACTCTTGCCTTTGTTGTGAGCTTTATGTGGTGAACAGTAGGACTTGTGACACAGCAAGGATGTGTACCACAGTCCTGGAAAACTAATGGAGAAACCTGTCACCTGTCCCCTACCCCGACATCTGCTTGCCTGCTTCATGGCAGGAGTGGGCTCTCGTCGGACTGGCCCAACCTGTGATGAAGGAGAAGGACAGGAGGCTGAAAGACATCAGTGAGGAAGACAGTGTGTATCCTGGTCCATGGGGAGTGGACCAGAAGTAGGGGGGTCTTGTTGGGAAGGCCCCAGCTGGGCTGCTGGGTGCATTGGGTTTGTGGGGGTCACATCAGCAGTGCTGCTGACCCCCCTTTTAGTCTGCCTGGCTCACCCACCTGCCCCAGAGAACAGTTAGACCCTCAGTTGCTCATTTCAGAACTACAGGGGATTGAAGATTTGGTTTGGTGGAGTAATTTAGCATTTCAGATATTACCTGGAGTCTGCTGTAAGGCAATTTCAACTTCTAAAACTTACACGTTGTTTTTGCTTTCACCTACTTTACAGTCCATCCTTCCCTTCATCACTCCTTCCAGTTAATTTATGTCAACAAAAAGTCCCAATTCTGCCTTTTAGGCATGTCTGCAATGGTGAGTTTGTTTCCAGAGCTGCTGGGCAACTGTGGGTTTTGGTCCTGCCGTGCCTCTGGATACCAGGCTGTTTCTGTTTAGATGTTGGAGTTCCAGCTTCGCATGCCCCAGCTTTGAAACCTTGGTGAAAATGAGTACCAACGCACCACCATGACCGGGGAAAACTCCGGGGAGCCGTCTGCCAAAATGTCATCAGCCACTTAAAGGGAAAGTTTGAATGATGACCCTGCTTCTGGTGGAGTTTCCTCCTGTCCCGGATATAAACACGCTGTCCTAGACGGAGTTAACTGTTATTTTTAGCAATGACAAAAGTGCATCTGAAAAGCCTGTTCTGTTGCACTTGGAAAATACCAGATGATTCGAAGTGCCAAATATGCTGGGGGGGGGGGGGGGGGGGGGAAAGCATTCCTGGAGAGGGCTCGCCCCCCGGACAGTCTGCGTGAACTCTTCAGGGCTTCCGCTCCCCCGGCTTTTCCCACGGGCGGGCAGGCAGGCTGACACGGACACAACACACACACACACACACACACACACAGCAGCTTGGGACTGCTTGGGCTGGCGGTGAACCCTGCTCCGTCCATCTTTTTTTTCAGGAAAAAATTTCAAAGTATGTCCAGTATGTTCCTTTGCCTAATTGAATCTAAGCTTCCTTGCCAAGAGGTGTCATTGCTTTCTTTGGTTATAAGCAGGAGGTTTTGTTTGAAGGGGCGAAAAACATTTAATAGAGCCCTTGTTTTTCTGCTTTCTGAAAAAGTCGTGGCCTCGTGCATTTTATGTGTGGCTGAATAGATGATCTGAACATGGCCTTTCTTTAAGGAAGAGTTACTGGGAGTTGTCACTAACACAAGGAATGTTGTGTACAGGAGGGGAGGGACACACTGCAGTCCTTGAAGTGCTGCTTTGGAGAAGGTGGCTCTCGGGTGATGTTGGAGGAGGGATGGGTGATGGACCAGAGTAGAGGAAAACAAGTTCCGTGGCACCAAAACACTTTCCCTATCAGCAGGACATGGTGGGGACCGTTTGGCACAGATGATGCTGCCGCATGGATGGTGTGGAGCAGGGTGGATGGTGTGGAGCAGGGTGGATGGTGTGGAGCGGGGTGAATGGTGTGGAACGGGGTGGACGCTGTGGAGCCGGCTGGGACGTTCCCACTCGCCAGGTGACCACAGCCCACGGGGAGGCTGGTCGTGGAGTGGGATGCCCGCGGGGGGATGCAGGAGTCCCCGGCGGCAGGCAGGGCAGCCTTGTCCCTCTCTCCCGCGGGTGACAGGGGCCACCCGCCGCACCGAGACTCCGCTCCCGGCCCCGCGTGGGTGCCGTGCGGGTCTCCCTCCCCGGTGTGCGGGGGGGCACCCCGGGCAGTGCCCA